CCGCCGTTTCTCCCTCCGATACTCGCGCTCGGCGGTCGTCGCCATCTTCGAAGAATCGCGACTCTCAGGTACGCGCTTATATCGCGCAGCTTGTAGGATAATAAAATTTATTGTTCGAGGAATTCACGTTCGGAATCGTGTTGTAGGTCTCGAAATTGGTCAGGCCGAGCTCGTAATCGTCGTCGCTCAGATCGAGAGGCGGAAAGTAACTCGCCGTGAGAACGTTGCTTCTTCCGGTCAGCGTGAGAATCAGCGACATGATGACGCGCGCTATCGCCGTTAGAGACCGAAGGGCTTCTTCCTTCCCCACCCCAATCGACTCGTCGAAGGAAGCGCAGGCACAATTGTCTGCAGACGCTCTGATCGTACGTCTGCTAAGAGTCGCGATTGTACGCGACGCGGGTGTCGCGTCCGAGATAACGCGCGAGTTCTCGAGGCGGCCGAAGATTGCCGAAAGCGTCGAAGTAGATAGCGTCTTTTCCCCTTTTAGCGTACGCCATCCAATGCGTGCCCGGCCCCGATGCGTCGTCCAGGTTTACGATTCCACTCTCGTCGCGACGAACTTGCGCCGGCAACGCGTCGCGCATGAACATACCTCTGAAGTGACGCACGCGAGCGCGCTTGGCCGCGCTATTCAACTGTTCGTTCGTCGTGACGCCGATCAGAGCTATGACGTCGTCTAACGAGCGCGAAGGCGCGACTTTTTTTTTCTTCCTCCTAACCGTTCGTCCGCCTCGTCTCGCGGTATATCCCGATATATGTAGTTCGAACGGAGAGCGTTTATAGTTCTATTGAGCAAACCGCTACCGCCGATGACTGCCGTCGCGGCATCCTCGGCGTATCTCATACGCTTCGATCGTCGACGCGCTCATAGTCACGCCATTTCGTTCTCCCGGCACATGCCGCAGTCTTTGATGCACGGCGGCGGACCGTCGATGTGCGTGTCTTGCCACGGCTGATTGAGATGTTTGTGACAGAGATGATAACGCTGCACGTCCGGATCGTCCTTCAGATGTATAGGCAATCTCTCCCACAATCGATTGACGAAATTGCCGTACTTGTCCAGCAGAAGCTTCTTCGGAACGTACTGCAACTGATCGACGCTGAGTCCGAGAATATCGGAATCGTTCACCAATAGAATAAACATGACGAAGCGTCGCGCGCGCGCGCGCGCGCGTAATTCTATCGCGTCACCGTCGATCGGACACGCCTAACTGCGCGATCGTTTTTTTTCCTCCCTCTATATATATATCCGTTCGCGAGGACGAATCCGCGCTCGTTGCTCGCGCGCGCGAGTCTGCGCACTGTGACGCAGATTCGCTCGCGACAACGAGGAAGAATCGCGAAAGGAGAGAGAAAGAAAACGATGCGTTTCGTGCGTCAACCGATCGCGATAAGAGTGTCCAACGTCGACGGTAAGACGCGCTCGATGAACGAGGAACCGCGAAGACACGGTAATCTGTTACCGACCGCGATCCGCTGCGTAATCTGCGGTCCCTCTAATTGCGGTAAAACGAACGTGCTGATAAGCCTTCTGGAGAGCTCGCACGGCGTGCGATTCGAGAACGTGTACGTTTACTCGAAATCGTTGCATCAGCCTAAATATCGATATCTAGAGAAATTGTTGAAACCTATGAGGGATATCGGTTACTTCACGTATTCGAACAATGTCGATGTCATCCCACCTAGCGAGGCGTCGCCGAACTCGATATTCGTGTTCGACGACGTGGCCTGCGACAAACAGGACGTCGTGAGAGAGTACTTCGCCATGGGACGTCACGCGAAGGTCGATTGTTTCTATCTGTGCCTCGTACGCTAAGATACCCAAACATCTGATACGCGACAACGCGAATCTATTGATACTCTTTAAACAGGATGGCACTAATCTGAAACACGTGCACAGCGATCACGTGAACACCGATATGTCGTACGAGGATTTTCACGCGCTATGTCGCGCGTGTTGGAAATACCGATACGGTTTTCTAGTGATCGACAAAGATAGCGCGCTGCGCAACGGTAGATACAGGCGAGGGTTCAACGATTACGCCGTGCCGTAGAGCGTCGCGTGCGTCGTCGTCGTCGTCGTCGAGGATGAGTCAGTCTTCTCGAGACGGCGGCGATCGTAGAGGGGAGAGAGATAAGAGAAGGCGAAACGTCGAGGAATGACGCGCGCGATGACGGACGTCGACAGACGCGAGAAAACCGCGATAGAGATAGCGAGAACGCGCGCGTCGATTCGCAGGAAGCACAGAGCGCTGAAGACCGGAAGGATGGAGAGCGATAGCGCTCTGGAGACGCGTTTCAAACCGATCGTCGAACCGTTGCGACGCATCGCCGAGCGCGTCGGAGACGATTGCGAGGCGCGAGCGCGCGAGAGAGGGAACCGGCGAAGAGCGACATCGACGAGACGTTCGCGCGAGGCATCAAGAGAACGGTGGCGTCGGAGGAGGAGGAGGAGGACGACGAGGAAGAGGCCGAGGAGAGCGCGTTACCGCCGCCGCCGCCGTCCGCGAAAGGATTCAAAGCTAAGCGATCTCGCCGTCTGAACGCGACGACTTCCACGCCCGTGGGAGCGCCGGACGCGTCTCCCGCGCAGCGGCGCGAATTCGCGAGCGGAGACCTCTTCGCGCAGCCGTCCGTCGAGGAGACGTTCGAGACGAGCGACGACGTCTTCCTCGGATCGCCGACGATGCTCGAAACGTCCGTGAGACAATCTCTGCGGACTCCTCGAGGGCGAGACATCCTGCGCGATCAATTGGGCCCGTTGGCGCGAAAATACGTGGGCGCTTTTCTCGGCGGCGGCGCGCCGAGCGATTTCGATCACGTTTACGGAGTCTACTTCGCCGACGCGGGCACTATGCTCGGAGACAAGCGATTCGACGTAGGCGCCGACGACGCGATATTCGTGGACGGAGTCAGATACGCCGGTACTCCCGGTCTGTACGAATTGATCTTCAAGAGAATTCCCGACGATTTCAAGTACACCGAGAGAGACAAAGCCGCGTACAAGAGCATACTTCTGCAAACTAACGCTCACAGGCGCGAGCACAATATTCGCATGCCCGTACTGGGAAACAAGGGATACAAGTACAAGCACGTCATAGCTCCGATCCTGCGGACGGACAGTCCGAGGAAGAAGATCGGCGGGGGTCGCGTGCCGCGGGCTATGCGCGCGACCCGCGACACCGTGGACTACGTTCACTGGGACGATCCGAACGAATTGGTGGATCGTCTAAGATTGCTGGACGCTTCTCGTCAAGCCGGCAACAACGCTCACGACAACGAGATCCTGTCGATAATCGAGGAACTCCGCGAGGCGGGCGAGATACTGTGAGACGATCGCGGCGACGCGCGCTTCATTCGACGACGCGATGTTCGCGAGCAAGTTCGGAGTGTCGACGCGGAGAAGACGCGGTCGCGACGCGACGAGCGCTAAATTGCGCGCGAGCGTGGATTCTCTGCGAAATTACGTGCGCGATAACGCGCTGTGCCTGACCGTCTCCGACGTCTCTTCCTCCGCGTCGCATTACGACGCGCGGCGTCTCAAGATACGAGGAGTGACCTGGCCGACCAACAACGACGACGCGAGGAATAAGAGTTACGTCGAAAGCGTTATGCACGCGGTGAGAGCGAACGTGGCGAATAATCACCAGCTTATCGCGAGCGCGAGAACGCGAGCGGATAACAACGCGGCCTCGACGGCGCAGAAATTCGTCGCTCTGAGCAAGAAGATCGACGCTCTCGAGAGCGCCGCGACCGAAAGATCGAGCGCTCTGGAAGCCGACTTTACGCGGATTCGCGCGAGGGGGAGCGCTCTCGAAAATCGGCTGCAAACGCTGGAGAATCTGCAGGAGCTCGCCGCGACGAGGATCGAGACCGTCGAGGCGGAGAGATCGGCCTCGCGCGCGGTCGTCGACAAGCGACTGGGCGATCTGGAGAGCTCCGTCGAGACGAATCGGACGAACGGGGACGCGTCGAGCAAACTGTCGCGCGAACTGGGGACCTCCGTCGCGCGGCTCGAGGAGATCGGCGAGAAAACGGAGAAGCGAGTGCGCGCCTTGGAGAGATCTCTGTCACACGTGAACAACGTAGCGGCGAACAACGAGAGAAATCGAGCCGCATTGAGCAATCACAACAGAACGCTGCAGGAGTTGACGGCGAAGGCACTGACTTCCAACGCGAAATTGCGAGAACTGGACGTCGAGGTGGCGCGTCTGAGGAAAGATGCGAACGAACTCGCGAGGAGAACGGCCGCGACGACGACGACGGCGACGAGGGCTGTGGCGAAGGCGGCTGCGGCGGCGACTGCGATTCCTAAAGGCACAATTTCACGCAGCGAGTAAAAGCTGGCGTTTTACCCCCACTCCATCAATTTTCGCCAGAATGGCGAATTCAGCGAATAAACGCTCAAAGTTCGACACAGTCCAACTTTTAGCGAATTGAAGCAACGCTGAAATTTAAATTATTTTAATTAAGTGTAAAAGTATAAAAGAAGAAATTATGGCTGAAGGGTTTAATGAATTGACAGCACCCGAAAATATAAACAAAGTTAGTATATATTATATACATACAATAAACATACTTATAGGTTAGACTACTCTTTGTTTCTTATTTATTTATGTTAGATAGATTAATTTTGTTATATTGTGTTAATAATAATTTTGTTTCTTATATTTTAGGAAAGTCTGTTGCCCTCGTACACTTGTGGTGTGTGCGAAACTATTTGTACTGAACAAGAAATATCTTGTCATTCACCTTGTTTGGAGGGATATGACAAATGCTTTATAGATGAGAATTTATATTTTTATCCTCAAATCGGTGAACATTAGTAACATTTTCATTATTATATATTTTATAAGTAAATACATTACAAGTAACATGAACTTTAATGTGTAGAAGACGGACATATAATACGCAAAAGTTTAATAAATGGTGAGGAGGCGATCGTAACAGATACCATCCAGGTTTCAAACCAAGAGGCCAAGAGCAATTGGCGAAATAGTAAAATTTTGGAAGAGGAACAGCTCATCGAAGAAATACATAAACGTCCCCCGCTGTGGAATTTCAAGCTTCCTCTTAGTGAACGAACTATGCAAGCCAAAAAAAAACTGTGGGAAGAGATAAAAACAGCGATGAACAGTAATATTTTATACTCATAATTGGGGTAAGATTAAGTAGAGAGCCATTAAACATATTTTTGTATTTTTTCTAGATACAATAGACATTGCGACTATGAAGAAAAAATGGAAGTCATTGTGCGATACTTATAGGACGTATAAAAGTAAGCAGCAGAAACCAAGCGGTTCAGCAGGGACCTCACAAAAGAAATGGGTGCACTTCGAACGAATGAAGTTTCTTAGCGATATGCAGCCCGAAATCGAGTACGTATTTATGAAATAACGAGCGTACAAACATATCTTAATGCAGTAGTACATATTTGTTTATATTCATTGCATATAAAATTAAACTGTATGTTACAGAACTGTAACCAATATCGCGACATTTCTCAGCGAAGAGTCTAATGATACTATGACTTTTGATGAATGCAGCAGCAGTGGTCGTGGATCACGTATGTTAATTTATTAATAATTTTTTTATGATAAGTATTGAAGGGAAATGAAAAATTAAAATTAATATTTGTAAAATTTTATTTTTTAATGAGATTTAAAAATTTTTATCTTTTGTTTTCAATTTTTCGCTACTCTATTTAATCTACAAATGTAATTAAAATAAATGTAAAAAAAATACAATTTCTAAATGATTGTAGGTAATCACAAACGTAGCTGCAGTAGCATAGATAGCGAAGATGGTACCAATTTTGACCGATTAATTGATGCTATAAATCAACCGATTAGCATACCACCATTTGTGCCTCCTACGCCACCACCCTCTGACAAAGCAGCTTTGTATGGTAACCTTGTTGCTGCTCAATTACGAGAAATCAATCCTCAGATTATGGATGACTTAATGCTACAAGTGATGCAATTGCTTAATAATGTTAAGAAAAAAAATTCTAATTAAATCACCGCCGTTTATTTCCTCTACCGACTGACAAAGCAGCTTTATTTAGTTCTACAAGTATTAAATAAAGAATAAAGTTATAATATATAAGTTTATTATATAATAAAGTTTATAATATGTGGAAACATTTATATTTTTTATAGGTTTTTGTAATAAAAAATTATTTGTAATAAAAAAATGTTTATATTTATTAGTATTTTATCTATTATATAATATTATACAAATTACATTATATAAATTACATTATAAAAATCATTTTTAAAATTTTATTTAGTTCTATTATATTGCCACGGTACTGCTCCTTCGTTATTAAAATAATGGCAAAATTTATTTCGAATTTCTATATTTTCTTTTGAACTCGTGTTTGATCCGCAGTTTGAGATTTCTCTGAAAGCACATCCATCTTCCGTGATAGTTCGCCAAGACCCTGGTTTAAAGCCATTTTGATAATCATCGACATCGATCACAGATGGAGGAATATACATGTTTATATCATTGTCCTGTCGACGAAGCCAATTATGGAGACAAACAGTTGCCTGAACCATTAGCTTTGCATTTTCAGGACTGGCGATAATTGGTTTTCTATATATTCTCCATTGACTAGCGATTATACCGAATGTGTTTTCTATTATTCGTCTTGCACGACTCAAACGATAATTGTATATATCTTGTTCTGGTGTAAGTCCACCTCTTCCCGGATACGGACGAAGTAAGTATGATTTTAAAGGAAAGGCTTCGTCTCCTACAAGACAATATGGTAAAATAGGTCCCCCTTCCTTAATCGCTGCTGGCTGTGGGATATTCATTCGACTTTCATCGAACGCTTTTCCTATAGCACTCTCCTTAAAAATACCGCTATCACTTCTTCGGCCATAAGCCCCAATATCCACAAATCGAATAATGTAATTTGCGTCGCAGATGGCCATGAGTACTATACTGTGACTATTTTTATAATTAAAAAACGCTGATCCAGCATTATTGGGACACTAAAAATAGAAGGATTATTTTTAATCGTACTTCTTTTTAAGTTATATTATACACTAACAATGAATTTACATACTTGAATAATAACATGCTTGCCATCTATGGCTCCAATACAGTGAATAAAATTCCATTTTTCATTGAAATCATTGGCGATATTTAACCAGTCTTTTTCTTCAAGCTGGCTTGAAAGAACCAAAGGGCACAAATAATCCCAAATTGCTTTGCACGTTTCATGTATTATAGTACTCACTGTTGTCACTCCCACAAGATATTGATAAGACATTGATGTCATCGAATCTCCGGAAGCAAGATATTTACAATATTTTATATAATAATATTTACATATATGCATTAAGTAAAAATTTATAACATTAGGTTTGTTCGTGTCACATGCTCTAATATACTTCTACTCCAATGTGCTCTAATACGTTTACCGCAAACAAACCTATTGTTTCATACATGCACTAAAAATTACTAAGTTAAAAAATTTAATTTAGTTAAGCTAAACAAACCTCAAGGTTAATGCCAATCGTTCTGGTGGTGAAATAGATTCTCGAATAAAGTCCTGCTTCTGCAATTTGTATCCAATTATTCCTAATAATTCCTCCAATTGAGTTGCAGTCATTCGGAAGTAATTGTGAAATCGTATGTCCTCTAATATCAATTTCGGAACCGATGCAAAGAAGAAACTGTGTTCATTACGATTTTTAAAAATCGGAGCTACCCAAAACCTTTTCTTCTTATATTTATTTCTTTTTTTTTTAACAAACAAATACGCAGCAACTGAAGCAGCTATACGTCGTCTTCTAATTTGAGCTATAACCGCCACTGTATGTCTATAATATTTTACGTACTCGATGTATTGATTATAATATTCCAACTCCATTTTTATACTTGTTGCGGTTATGTCAGGTTATGTACTTAGCAATCGTCGCTTTTTAACGCTGCTTTGCGTTGTGATGAAATGGGGGTAAAACGCCCCAGCTTTTATTCGCTCCATGAAAAGGATAGAGGCGATAGTGAACAGCTTTTTAACGCTGCTTTGCGTGGCGGTGGAGTGGGGGTAAAACGCTAGCTTTTATTCGCTGCGTGAAATTGTGCCTTAAGACGATCGATCCGAATAAGGTAATCATACAATTGGGCGCTAAAACTCCCGATAAGCAACAGTCGAAGAGAGGGTAGAAAAAAAATAGAGACGGCGAGATGAGCGCCGCGAAACGGAGACTCGTGAACGAGCTGCACGCGCCGGCGAGAAAGAACTTCCCCCGTCGCCGCGTCGCGGTGCGCGGATACGACGATCTGTGGCAAGCGGTTGTCGTCGAGATGCGTCCTTACGCCGGACGGAACAGAGGCCACAATTACATACTCACCGTCATCGACGCTCTGAGCAAGTACGCGTGGGCGGTACCGCTCAAGAGAAAGAGCGGCAACGAGGTCGCTCGAGCTCTGTCGAGCGTGACGCGCGCCTCCGGACATCGCCCGAGAAATCTGCAGACCGACAAAGGAAAGGAGTTCTACAACGCCGAGGTGCGAAGATTCGTGGATAGACACGGCATCAATCACTCGACGTATTCTGTGCTGAAAGCGTCCATCGTCGAGCGTTTCAATCGCACGCTCAAAAACTCGATGTGGAAGTACTTCACGCTGAACGGAACGTACAAGTGGCTCGACGCGCTGCCGCGTCTAATATCCGAGTACAACGCTCGCAAGCATCGAACCATCGGGATGCGTCCGATCGACGTGACGCCCGCTCGAGCGTCGAGACTCCTGTCGACGGTGTACAGCCACCCGAAGATCGCCGCTCCGGGAAAATTTCGACCGAACGATCCCGTGCGCGTGAGCAAGTACAAGACGCTGTTCGAGAAGGGATACACGCCGAATTGGACCGCGGAGATCTTCCGCGTAGCCGAGGTGCGAAGGACGAATCCCGCGACGTATCTACTGAAGGATTCGCGCGGCGAGCCGATAGCCGGCGGATTCTACGAGCACGAGTTGCAACGAGTCTCCGATCCCGACGTACTATATCTCGTGGAGAGAGTGCTGCGCCGGAAGGGCGACGCGGTTCTCGTGAAGTGGTTGGGGATGGACAGGTCGCATAATTCGTGGATAGACAAAGTCGACATATTGTGACGAACATACGTATATTTTCGCGCGATATTATAGACGAAAAGATACATCGCGCGTATTGTAACGCGTCGCAACGAATATATAGTATATACAGCGTGTGTCAAAAGTTCCGGGACGGCTGAATAATTTGAAAAATACGCATCACAGAGGGAAATGACCTAGACAAAAGTTGTAGGATTTTTCCCGGGCAATCCGACGGTGACCTTAGATTTGACCTTGGATAGTCATTTGAAGGTCACATAAAGATTACCTTCAATTTCTTAAATGGAACCCCCTATTTTTCATTGCATATTCTTGTAGCTTATCTCGAGAGCTTTCCAAAACACTATAATTAAGTACCTTTATATTAAGTACTTTTTGAGTTATAAGGCTTGAAATAATTTCTTAATTTTACATAAACCATAAAATATCTAGTAAACCATTCATTTTTCGATTATCTTACCTTCATACTTTTATGTACAAAATAATGAGAGGAATCAATTGGTGTAAAGAAAATACATAGTTGTTTCTAAGAAAAAATATGTAATTTGCAATTAACAATTCTATATTTTTTCTTAAAAACAACTGTATGTTTTCTTCACACCAATTGATTCCTCTCATTATTTTGTACATAAAAGTATGAAGGTAAGATAATCGAAAAATGAATGGTTTACTAGATATTTTATGGTTTATGTAAAATTAAGAAATTATTTCAAGCCTTATAACTCAAAAAGTACTTAATAAAAAGGTACTTAATTATAGTGTTTTGGAAAGCTCTCGAGATAAGCTACAAGAATATGCAATGAAAAATAGGGGGTTCCATTTAAGAAATTGAAGGTAATCTTTATGTGACCTTCAAATGACTATCCAAGATCAAATCTAAGGTCACCGTCGGATTGCCCGGGAAAAATCCTACAACTTTTGTCTAGGTCATTTTCCTCTGTGATGCGTATTTTTCAAATTATCCAGCCGTCCCGGAACTTTTCACACGCGTTGTATATATTTGCAATATTAAAGATAAGAAAATACATTGCGCGCATTGCAACGCGTCGCAACAAACATATATATTGTACAACATTAAAGATAATAAAATACATCACGCATATCTGTAAAAAATATATCGCATAGCGCTTAAGATCTATCCGCGCCTCTCCTCACAGAGGTATCCTGTAGTGCCTCCACGGCAGTGTCGGTCGAATCCGGCACGACGTAGCGCTTATCGTCGTACGGACTGAGCGCGACCTTCGACTCGCGCACGGTGTACACCTCGTGTAACTTGGATCTCAGGCACGACTGCTCGCGAGTCATCTCGATCTCACGTCTCAGGCAGCGCTCGTAATCGTCGAACGTCAGCGTTCTCGCGACGACGCTGCTCCTCACGCCCTTGCTCTTCTTAGTGTCGCCCCTACCCTCGACTCGCAACGCGTACATCTTCGCTCTGAGCCCGACGAACTCGAGCATGAGAGCGCCGTTGTTTTCGTCCTTCATCAGACCGAGAACCTTCTTATTCGCGCGCGGCACGCCGTAGGGATTGTCGACGGCGTAATCGCTCGTGTCGAATCTATCGATGTCGCGCTTCATTCGCTCGTACGCGTCCTCGCACTCTACGCTATAAATGAGACTGTCCGTGTCGGTGTACAATATCTTACACTTATCGCCGTAGAGCGGCGACATGTATTCGTAGTGAAACGCGTACAGACGAATCTTGGATATATCGAGAATCGACATGCCTACGTAGATCGGTTTGTCGATCTTCGCCTCCAATTTGCGCAATTCCACGGCCATGAGATTCTCCGAGAATACGCTTCTACTGTGAAAATTCGGCTTGGAGATGAGCGCCTCGGTTCCGAATCGACCGTCCCATCGAGTCGCGAATCGAACGTCCACGCGATTGCGCACGTTCTCCATGGTCTTGCCGAAGACGGCGTTGTTCATCAACTTGTACAGATTCTTCTCGAAATCGTTACTCGCGTTAGTGCGTAAACGCGTGTTAAGTTCCACGTATCCGCGTAACCACGGCGACTGCGAGAAGCGCAGCGCGCGATGATCCTAGTCAGACGCAGACCGTGACGAACGCACTGCTGCAGATTGCGATAGTGCGTGACGTATCGGCGCTTATCGTACAGCGTGGCTAGGAGTTTGCTCTGCCGCTTCTCCGGCGGCTTATCGCGCGTGGGACAAAACGGTAGATCGGCGTGAGCGTCGTGCGCGTCGGCCGGATAGTCGAGATCGACCTCGAGAATGTAGCCGACGGTCGAGTCCTCCGTCACGGACATCACGTTGAGACTCTCGAGGTCGTCGACCCACTCGAATCGCTCGTACGGCAACGGCTGACACATCGCCCAACCGTACAGATTGTTGATATCGAGATACATCAGATAGATCGACGGTCGCGACGGATCGTACGCGCTTATGTACTTGTTGTTAGCGCGAGCGTATCTGTTGGAGCACTGACTCAGACCGCCGCGTATTCCGCGTTCCACGAACATCATCATATCGATATCGGTGAGCAGCTCGAAACGGACCCCCGTGTACTTGAGCATCGCGTCCCACGTGTATCCCGGCAACGTGAAGTAGTACGCGGAATCTAAACCGTAACTCTCCAAACAAGCGGCGCGAAAATTTTCGAACACGTCCGCGAGCAGAAGAACGTCGGTCTTCAGATAGAGATCGCTGTACTCGCCTAGATTTTCGACGCTGAATCGCTTCCAGACGCGCGTCGCGTGCGCGTAATCGCTCTCCGATACGATATCGCCGGTCAGAGAACTGTAGAAGGACTCGCGCGGCGGGAGACGCGTCTCCCGCAATCTCTCGACGCTGTCGACGTACTCGTACTGAAACACGCCCTTGCGCGTGAGAAGCCGGAAGTCGTCGTCCGAGAGATCGCGAAACTCGCCTCGCGCGATCGTCAGTTTGCTCTCGTCGAGATACGACGCCAGCTTATCGAAACCGGCGCCTAAAAACTTGAACGAGTCCACGAATCGTAATTTGATGTATCTGGAACGCGCGGCGTTTCCCCCGTCTCCCTCCGCCGCCGCCGCGCTATCTCGAACGGTCTTAGAGAAAACTATGTACGATTCCTTCGTCACCGGCAACAACTCGACGCTGCCGGGATACGCGTTAGCCACATCCTTGATAATGAAGTGTGCGTCGTAACCCGATAGATTGTGAAAGAATACGGGTATGACGTAGGGGTCCTTGTAATTCAAATTACACGCGGAATGCGCCGGACCTCTGAAACGGCCGGTCAAGTGACAGTGATCGCGCACGCGAGCGTCGTCGGCCTCGAACGGTCTCTCGCACGCGTGACAGCGCGACGCGCCCGCGAACGTCTCCCGCTCGTCAGACGTCAGATCCGCCATCGGTACCACGGCGTCGAGGGCGACCTTCGCGCGAAGCGCCAGATCGCGCAGCTCGCGCACGAACCACGCGACGCAATCCTCGCCGCGATAAGATCCGTACGCCGACGCGGCGTCGTCGAAGGAGCAACGCGTGTAATAGGCCACGCTGTGAACTCTGTGATGCTGAACGATCCGCGTATTCTTGGTTCTCCCGCCTTCGTCCCCCTCCTTCCTCTCCAACGCGCACTCCAGATCGGCGTACACCGCGAACGGAATTCGCTCCTTTCTCGAATGATGCTCGAACTCCAGCCACCTGTCGTCCTCGCCGGGAAGAACGATCGCGCAATCGTTCAGCTTGCCGCAATCCTCGCTGTGCGCCGACAGCTTCTCGCTCGTGCGAAAGTAATGCATGCATCTGAAAGAAAATACGAAATAAACGCTAGCTCGATATCTCGCTCTCGCTCGCCGAGATCGAATGCTCACCGATCGCACACGTGCGTCCTGTGCTGTCGCTTGCTCAACTGCGAGCCGATCAGACGAGACAGATCTCGAATACAGGCGAAATGTCCGACCGCGTTACCCTCGCGCGTCGCATCGCTCAGATACAGCAGATTGACGTGTCTCTCCCTCTTTCGATCCGTCAGACGAAGAGGGACGATGCGAATCCCGCCGTCACCGTCCTTCCCGCGTCGTCTCTCTCCGACGGTGTACACGTTCACCGATATATCGTTCAGACGCTCGAACCGTCCGATTCCGTTCAGAGTCATAGGTAACTTCGAGCCCTCCAGATTCAACACCTCGGAGTAATGCGGATATCGCGAGCTTCTCTCGCAGTGCTTATCCACGGGATACAGAGCGGCGACCACCGACCACGCGAAACACGCCTCGTCGTCGGATCGCACGTTCATCACCGCTCTCTTCGTTTGAATCTCTCGCGGTACTCGCACGTGGCATCCCGCCCGCATGGGATTGTACACGTTCACGTTCACCGTTAGATCGAGTATGCGCGACAGGGCCCATCCACTGTCGCGCTCTTGAAACTCCTCCAAAGACGCGACGGTATCGCCGACGACGCGAGTATCGTACCACTCGCGCAGATCCGTCGTGGGTAGAAGGGGATGGTTTCTCGTGGCGATCGTCTTAACGGCGATTTTATCGCCCGACACGAATTCTCCGTTGAACGTTGTGTTCACTTTAACGCTGCGATATCGGCCCATGACGTCGCGCACGCGGCGGAGCACGGTGTCCCTCGCGTCCTCGAGAAATCTCAGAAGTTCGATGTAATCGAGATTTATCACAGCGCCGGTCAACACGCGTCTCTTGAAAGCCGTCTCGACCTCGGACCACGAGAATCCCTCGCGCGACTCGACCCCGCTACCGCCGTCGTCCTCGCGTCTCGCGACACCCGCGCCCTCCCGCTCGAAGCGTCGCCGTAGATCGTTCCTCGCGCCGATCACTCGCAGGATTCGGGCGACCAGAGAGGTCCTCGCCCCCGTGGAGATTCGGCGACTCGCGTCTAGGCACCTCTCGCGCAGAGTCGCGAGACACTCCTCGCACCGTCGCGTCCACGCGCGATAGTCGTCCGTCGTGACGACATCGCGCGCGCTCTCCAGCGTCCGGCGCTCTTCCTCCCGCATGGTCGCGTCCTCTTCTCTCCCTACGGCGATTCGTCGTCCTCTCTCTCTCCTTCCCGCGAGACCTTATCCACAGCGTCTCGCCTCGCGAATCCACCGGCAGCGAAAACCCGCGACGCGTCTCGGTCGCCCGCGTATCTCCGGCGTCGAATCTCGCCGCTCTTCCGCTACACACTAGGACCGTCTCGATTCACAGCTCCTCGCGCGCGTCTCGAAGACCGATCGCCCGCCTCGTCGAATAGGTCGCGACGCTCCACGCGATCCTCTCCTTAACACTCGAACGTAGCGGTCGATCGGCGGATCGACGCGCTTCTCGCTCATGACAACTCGCGCCTCAAGCGTATCAAATCCACGCCGCAGAACATATTTCGGCGGAACGGATACTCGCGACCGCTGTTCTCGCGATCGTACGTGTATCGCAGAGTTCTACCCGCGTTACCTCGGGCGGGAGAATCCTGCAGCGCACGATCGGATATAAGTATCGTTCTTCCGGTTGGGGATAATCGAACGAGTGGTATTTCCACACGCCGTTACACATATAACCCTTCGGATCCTGATGATCCATTGGATACTTCGCTCTAAACCACCTGTTTAGATCATAGTTGTAAAAATCGGCTCTGCGACTGTGGGCCAGAGCCGTCTCGACCCACAACTCCTCGCGTCGACTGTGCGTTTGAACGGCTCTTCTCAGATGATACGTCGCGACGTTCCATCGTGCGCTCTCCTTCAACTCGATGTCGTCGTCGCCTATCGGGCGCGTGAACACCTCCGCCGCCCTACCGTCGGCGGTAGAGACGATTTTGGCGGAACTCGCGCCGCTCATACGCGCGCCTCGTCGTTCGCGAACCTATCTTCCCGAAAAAACGATCGGATAGACCGATCGCGAGGCGTGTGCGCGCCTCGAAACGACCGTCTTTATACTCGCTCGTTCGAGCGATGACGACGTCGCGCGAGCGGGAAGAAGTTTCTCCGCGGTCGCGCGGTTTTCGCCTTCGGAAACGACGAATCCGTCGAAATACCGCATTCGACCGGATTCGGCGCGCGTTATCGCGCGCGCGTCTCTCGCCGCTGCGCGTTCGAGAGAAAGAAACGACGACGGAAGCGTCGCCGCGAATATCCCTCTCGTCTTAGCGCGACGCGCTCGAGAGGAAGGAACGGCGACGGAAGCGTCGCCGCGAATATCCCTCGCGCGCGCGCGAGTAAATCCTAACGGAATCCCGTTCCTCTCTCGTTATCGCGCTTAAAAGGAGAGATAAGCGGCGAGTCCGAGAACGCGCGACGACCGCGATATCGCGCGAAACCGCGATATCGCGCGCGCGCGACGAGGTCCTCGTCCGATCGACGCGCTTTCCGTCGATCCTCCAGAACGAAGGATCGACCTCAGTCGACGAGAGAAACGCCTCTACTCGCGACGTGTTCTCCCGATACATTGTACGCTCGTTTACGAAACGTGCGCACATTTAGGTTAAAATTCGAGCGATGCGCTCGCGCGCGGTGAACTCGTGTTCGACGTCTACGACGAGACGAGGCGAGAAACACCGCCGCGCTCCGCGTGCTCTCCCGATATATCACGCGCCTTTTTTACAAACGGATATAAAAAAATATTCGAATTTACATTCGAGCGACGCGTAAGACGCGATGGAAACGCTCGAGGCCGCTTGTCGCTCCCTCCTCGGCGCGTCGAAACGACGCGAGCCTGTGGAGGCGCGTATGTGTCCTATCTTAAAAAGTGTATGTTAAGTCGATTACTCGAATATATCGAAATGTTGAAGCCTCCTTTTCTGCGATGCTGATTGGATGCTGGTGCATTCCGATATATTCGCGGTTAGGTCAGGTTAGGTAGCGTAGCGCTCGAGCGCTTCGTCATCCATAACCTATTTGTTACTCTTTCGTGTTACATAGTAGTGCGTTAAGAAAGAATGAAAAAGAATCTCGAAGAGGATAGAAGAAGGAGAAAGAGAGAAAGAAGAAAAGTCGAATAAAGAAGATATGTAAATATATGTATAAATAATGTTTTTTCTAAAAGAAAGTATGAAAAACTTTTATCCGGAAAAGGTCATATTACTTGTACATATCCTCTCTGCATTATTGTATGTGCTCTTAATAAAACATTAATACATATGCAAGATAATATATGAAAGTTATTTGTAAATATGCATTATATGTTCTACATTATCTTATATACTATGCGCAGTAATGATTTAAAAGTATATGTACTAATGCGAATAGCATTCATTATTACTAATCTAATTTCAATATTACTGGAAGAGTTTGCTTATAAAAAAGTTTGTACAACAAGCCTGTTATCTAGGAAATCTTATATATTATGCGTAGTAATGATTTAAGAGTATATGTACTAATGCGAATAGCATTTATTATTACTAATCTAATTTTAATATTGCTGGAAGAGTTTGCTTATAAAGAAGCTTGTACAACAAGTTTGTTATCTAGGAAATATATAGCTATTCCTTTATATAAGCTTTTGTATAAGTAAACTTCCTAATATTAAAATGTTTAAATTTGATTAATATGTAATGTTGAATTCTATTTAAGTTTGTAGATAGATTTAAATTTATTAATTTAATTTAAATATTGTAAGAAGAGTTTGTTTATAAAGAAGCTTGTATATATATATAATATATAATATATAATTTATATACAGTGAGTTTTTTATCTTGAGACATTGAAATATCTCGTAAAGTCTAAAAGATACGAAAAAATGTTTTAAACAAAAATTATATGATTTTAAAGGGAACATAAGGTAGTGTTATTAGTTTGACCTTGAGGAGTTACTTGAAAGTTACGTGAAGGTCACTTCTAACCTTTTAAATAAGACATCCTGTATGTTTTGTATATTCTCGTAGCTCATCTCGAGAGCTTTCCAAAACACTATAATTAAATTAGTTTTTATTAAGTACTTTCTGAGGCATAAAATCATTTTCTTAATTTTATATAAATTGTAAAATATCTTGTAAAATATTTATTTTTCGATTATCTTATTTTAATACTTTTATGTACAAAATAATGTGAGGAATTAATTGGTGTAAGAAAAACATATAATTGTTTCGAAAAAAAATGTAATTGTTAATTGCAAATTACATTTTGTTTTCGAAACAATTATGTGTTTTCTGTACATCAATTGATTCCTCTCATTATTTTGTACATAAGAGTATTAAGATAAGATAATCAAAAAATGAATATTTTACAAAATATTTTACGGTTTATGTAAAATTAAGAAATAACTTTGTCTCATAAAAGTACTTAATGAAAATTAACTTAATTATAGTGTTTTAGAAAACTCTCTAGATGAGCTACGAGAATATGCAAAAACATACAGGATGTCTTATTTAAAAGATTGGAGGTAACCTTCACATAATTTTCAGATGACTCTTCAAGGTCAAACGAATGACATCATTTTATGTCTTCCTTGAAACCATACAATTTTTGTTTGAAACATTTTTTCGTATCTTTTAGACTTTACGAGATATTTCGATATCTTAAGATAAAAAACTAATTCTGCATATATATAGATATGTATGCATAAATTATAGATATGTATGCATGTATGTATTATTTGTATAATTTTTTATATATTATTTTTTTAAATTAATGTAAATTATTAATATTTATTTCTTTTGTTTCAGGAAAGGCGAGAAAGTTACAAAATTTACATAATAAATAGTAGAAAAAGAGGAAAAGAATAGTGAAGAGAGAAAATTAATTAAGAAAACTTTTTATATTATAAGTTATTTTAATTTATTTACAATTAGTATTTTATATTTAATTATATTTTAATTTTATTGTATTATAATATATTTTATTATTTTATATTTACAAAAATTTAATTAATATTTAATTTTATTATAGTAGTATTATTAATTATTATATATTGTAATTTATTTTATTTTTTATGTATATGTAATTAATAAATAAATCATATTATTTAGAAGTATTGATATTATTATTAATAATAATTATGATATTGATGATAATTGATGATATGAATGATATATAAATGATGACACTGATGATATAAACTATTATATAATATTGACGATAACAACAATAATAATAATAATAATGACAATGAAGATAATGATAATGATGATAACAAAATAATAATTTTAACAATAACTATAGTTTAATAACCATAACAATAACTATAGTTTAATAACCATAATAATTAACTTATTTATGTAAGTTAATTTATTTAAAGTGAGAAAAATAGCAATAATTTTATTAATTCCTTAAGCGTTGTATCGACGTCAATCTATATTTGGTCTTAAAGTAAATGATAATTGTAACTCCAACAATAATTCGTCAAATTCCATTCCTAAAGAGAATATTAATTTTTATCTTAATTGAATTTAATCTAATAATAATAATAATTTATAAATAATAATAATATTTAAATAATAATATATAAATAATAATAATAATAAATTATTAATATAGTAATAGTATATATAGATAGTAATAGTATATATATATATATATATATATATATATATATAGATTATTTAATAGTTATAATATAAAAATTGTAATAGATATTTCAATAGTAAAAAATTTTTTGTATAAATTATTTTTTTTTTATTAATATTTATTAATAATATTAAGTGTATATGTTTAAGATTTTATATATAGTATATTAATATAGAAAATTCTTATAAAATGACGAGACGTAAAATTGTACGTACTTTAGAAGAAAAAAAAGAATTTTTGCAACAACATCGAGAAAAAAGAAGGGAGAATCAACGACGTCGTCGTGAAAATAAGAAATTAGTTGAAAATTCTTTGAAAAAGTTAAATCAACAAACTATTTGTATTGCTGGTACAACAAATGATAATCGTGTAATAGAATTAGATATGCAAAATGAAGAAAATCCTTTAAGTGTTAGAGCAACATTACAATCATCTGTAGAATATCAAACTCGTTATCGATCACGGCAGAAAAAACGATCTTGTTTAAATAATATTAGTACACTATCATTTACTGATGT